TATATTTGAATACTCTCTTCTCTCTTTTTATTTATTTTTTTTTAATATTTGGAAAACCCCCTTAGAAGCCGTTCCCAACTCTTTTGAAGTTTTTGAAGGTTAAGATTTCTCACTTAATCAACTCATAAAAATTTATGCCCAAAAGGTACAGTGATTTTAATCACTCAATAATATAATATCACTTATATATCACTTCATCTATAAGGATATAAGCCTGCCCATATTGCATCAGACCAAGGTGTTCTCTATCTCAAAATCTTGTGTCTGATATTAGTTAGTAACAGATACTGTAAAAAAAACCAAAACAACCCCAACCCAACAAAAAAAACCACCACCCAACTCCCCGCAGAAACCCCCCAACAAAACAAAGGAAAACAGGGCAAGTATGGAATGAGTAGGAAACAGGACAACCTTCCAGGCTTGACACTTGGAAGTCTGTTTCTGAACAGTGCTCTCCCTTTCACCTTCCTTTCTTTAGTCTGCTGTACCTTTGATACTGCACGCACCTACACCAATATCTGTACCATGGTCTCTTCTCACATAAGAAGCCTGTACTGCTTTGATGGTGAATATTTTTATTATTCTCAGCGTTGTCTCTCTTCACTTATTAAAAAATCCACCCTGTTCTGTAGTGCTGTTAATTTACAAGGTGCTTTACAAACACAGATAAGAGCTTTCCAAGGCTCTACTCTAAATAAGAAGAGACACATGCAAGATGAAGCACTTGAAGGCTGTTCAGGAAAGTGAGGACATGGAAATGACTTGCACAAACAGGAGAGGGGTTTTGTGAAGGGGAGTTTCTGAGAAAGGGTTTTAGGCAGGGCAGAGAGTAAGTCTGACAGTGGAGGAAAATGGTCTGGTGCAAGGAGCAGTGGAGCTAGGATGTGAAGGCAGGAGCAAGGAAAAGAAAGGAAGGGAAAAACTTGGAGAAACTGGGGATAGTGAATGGTGTGGAAAGGCACTTGTGAGGAAGGCAATAGGATAGAATGTTTATCACACTGTTTATCAGTGTTTCTTCAAAATAGACTGGAGGGAACTCAAGAAATTAATATAATTTGGGGTTTTTGCCTCCTTTTTTTTTTTTTTTTGGCAGAACTTGACCATCTATCACAGCTTTTCATCTTACCTTGCTCTTATCCTGCTTGCAATGACAGGCATAGCAAGCAGTGCTTACATGTTATGTTAGAAGCTTTCCTATTATTTATAAGTCTCCTTTGCATTAAATATTATCCTGTCCATTGTGTCCATTTACGAAGGGAAAGAATTAAATCTAAAACCCAATGCAAGAAAGAAAGCCAAAGGAAGGAGGAGTGTGCTCTGTCTCTGCATGTCTTCCTGTCTAATCCATCTAATGGACTGCTCCAATCTCCTTTTCTCCCTGTGGCTTTGTGAGGAACAGGGAAGACTGAAAAATTGACTTGTTATGATGAACTAATCTTTATTAGTAAGAGTAGGATAAACTCAGGGAATAAGCCAGATTCTACAAGGTTGTTTGCCCCTTCATCTTCCTGGGACTTAAACTGGTGATTGTGAGATTCAGTATCTTGTAGGACTGTACGAACTGGTTTTTTCTTTATAGATTGATGTTTTGTTTTGCTCTCCATCACTTATCTCTGCAATTATTAGGCCAGCACCAAGTCAAGCAAGGGACATGTGAAGTTGTGGCAGTGCATCGTTGCTGCAATAAGAACCGGATTGAGGAACGATCGCAAACAGTCAAGTGCTCCTGCTTCCCAGGGCAGGTGGCTGGTACAACAAGGGCTCAGCCCTCGTGTGTGGAAGGTAAGCAGTCTCCCACTCACTGTGGTTCATTAAGATTGTTTGAGAAGTTTAGTCTCCTTCATTGTTTGACTTCCTACTGCCTCAAAAGCATAATCCTTCCTTTTGTTAATTTTGGAAACATCTCTGTGCATTGATGATAATGAGTCTCTGCATAAATCTGAGTGTAATTAATCCTCTTAATATATGTACTCGTCCATTTCATGTCTGTGCCAATAAAACTTCTTAATTTTTTCGCAGAATAATTCTCCTTTAAAACTAGTCTGAAAACAGCATAAGCCAAGAAATTCAAGCTTTTGATGTTAACCCTTCCAGTTGTCTTTAAACTTAGCTTGGCTAAAAAGTCACTGAATAAATGCAGCCCTAAGACTGGGCATACAGATAGTGCTGGGACATCTGATTTTGAGAGCTGTTCTCTAGATGGATATTTTACCATTTTATGTGCCTGATGGTCTCATATGCTGGACATCAGTGCTATAATGATGCCCCATGTTTATTCATTTTCATGTATTTTAACCCAAAATGCATTAGTTTGGAGAGCAGAGCAAGCATACTCCTGCACTGGACACAGTGACCGAGCTAGGTCACTAGGTCACCTACCTGATGAAGGAGAAATGTGATACAGTTGCTTTAGTCCATCACCTTCCTGGATAGATGTTGAAATCTTCACAAAAGCTCAATGTTGCCATCCTTACGCTTTTAGCAGTGTAACTTATTCAAAATTAACTTTATTATAGACACTAAAGCTAAAATTTTACCTTGATTGTAATGTTGACAAGGCATTCTAAGGCGACATAAAACTTGCCTCCCTGAGATTCACTTTGCACCTCACCCCCACCATTTTCCTTTCTGGTTTATCAGCAGTTCAGAAATTGTGGGTTAACCTCCTTCCTTTTCCTACCAGCTGAGTCTATTCCGTGGAGAGGCTGCTGCTCTTGCTCTTAACTTAGTAAATAGTTACTCCAAGACAGATTTTTTTATTATTTATTTTTTTTTTTACTTTAGAAAAAGCCTAAAAACTACCAGATCCCCCAGTTAATTAATTCATAAGCAAGACCCTTCTGTTTTCATTCTTTTTCACACAACACTGCAACCGTTAGAAGTTAAATATAAAATATATTTAGAAGTTAAATATAAAACAAAGGCTTTGAAATCCAATTTTTAACCTAACATTCAGAGATATTTAGTTTTAATTATAAAACTCTAAATACAGGCAACGTCTGATTTTTTTAATCTATTATCTGTTTTGAGAACCGCTTATTTAAGAAAGTAGATTTTTTTTTTTAGATGCTTAATCTTTTCATGTCTTGAAATTCACAATCAACTTTGTGCAATTTGTTAAGTAGCTTTCTTTTCAAATCAGACACATCAAACAGCAGAAACACTTTCACATACAACAGATAAGAAAAGTCAGGCATTGTTTTAAAGTCGCTTAAGGATTGCAAAGGTGACACTGTCTTTCCATGATAGAGAGGTATAAATGCACAATACCATAGAAGCTTAATTCAGTTTGTCAATGCAAATAGTTGCTGAAAGAATTTAGTAGATGTTTTTTCTTCAAGTATAGTTGAAATTAAATATGACAAAATATTATGGATATAAGATTTTGATTTCTGAAGTGGAAGCCTTTGATTCCCCCTCACCCCTTAGGGTAATGCTTTAACGTGCTTCACTTATTTTTGCAAGCATATGGGACTACTGTCAGTGTTATTCAGTTGCTGTAGTGCAGAAACTATAACTATCTTTCCTTTGCCTCAGGATTAGATGTGTTTTCTCCCACTCTGTACATATCCTTCAGTAGGCTTCTACGCTATGGAAGCCAGAAACAGTTTGTGATGTCTTGAATTAGCATATTTCAGTCTGATACAGACACTTCATTTTCTCTTCCAGCACCTTTTTACTGAATGCAGGGCTGTTTAATTCACCTATATTTTGCCCTGAACTTGCCCTGAGGACGTGCCCAAAGCAGAGAGTTACTTTTCTAACCAAAATAAAAGATTTTATAGACCAATTGTCTTGTAGTAGTATTTTCTTTGAACTTCAGACCTTATCCAGTACTAGTTTTTACATTAGGACAGCAATTATTGCTATGCTGTTGATCATGCATGACATGCACATGGTGGTGGGTACCTGTAGTTCCTACCTCAAATAGAATGGATGTTTATATAATTAAATAATTAAAACTGGTTTTGTTGAGGTCTGCATGATGGTTTTACTGAAGTCTGCTTCTTGCTATTTTAAAATGAAAGTCTGATTTCTGGTTTGTCATTAACAACTCGGGAAAGCAAGAGTGGATTCTAGTTTTTCTTTAGGCCAGGCAAGCATATCACTGGTCATAGACTGTAGATGCTCTATGAGAAATTAAGACTATTGCAAGAAATGGATTCTCACAGAATGTGGAAGACTGCAAAGGGCTGGGACTTTAGAAAAGTCTGGACAAACTGTATTTACAATTCTGCTCTGGACTTGAACTTGACATTTAAGCAGCTTTCTGCTATAACTTATTTGGATTTTTTCCCCAGGAAATTGTAACCAAATTAAAATAAACCTTTCTCATTTGAAATTTATACATCTGGTTTTAGTATTTTACAAGTTTTTAATTTAGTTGGGTATTTTTCCTTAGTCTTCTCAATCTTACAGCATATAGGTTTCCTGACCTACATCCCACTGCGTTTCAGTGACAGCTTGCTTGTTAATTTGGGTGGGGATAGAGCCTAGTTCATCAAACAGAGCTCCTTGTTGATGAGTACTGGGCATTGTGCCTTTTTGTATATATAGGCCATGAAATAGACTTGTAGAGCTCATCATCATGTTTTTTAGGATACAGTCATAGGCCAGCTGGATATTTACATTTGGAAATAGGTTGACAGATGCTAAAGAATTTTACACAAGGTCAGATTTAAAGCAGCAGTTTATTGAAGTAGCACCGTGTGTTAAAGTTAAGCCCTGCTCAAAGAGGTAGTGAAGACGTGTACCAATATTCACAGCCACCAAAATTTCAGGAAGGCTCCCTATTTGAGCCAGGTCAGAATGGATGTTTGCATAAATACATTCAGGCATACATCTACACATAGAAGTGACTTTTTTTCTCATGATGTTTGCTAAGGAGGAAACCAAGTACTTTGGTGTTACAGAAGAAATTATAGATATCCAGGTGATTTCCAAGGAAAAGGTGTTGAAGTGGTGCAGAAAGGAAAGTAAAAGCTGGTTAAATCTTGTAAATACATAAAATGAAATTCTTAAGTGCCTTGATTGCTATGAATCACTTCTTTTCCATTTTGTACAGCAATACTGTGTTGTGGGGCCTGACTAGCATTTTTAGAGTGCTTTGCATTTCTACAGCGTCTTTCACCTTGGAAACTTTAAATATTGGTAGTAGCAGAAGTCAAAGTACTTCATTTAAAAATAAGGATATGAAGGTGAAAATCAATGTTTTTTATAGACTGAGAATTTCCCAGCATTTTTACAAGCACAGTAAAATCACACGTTATAGCCTGGATGAGAGTACAGGGCAAGAACTGCTTGGGTCAGGGTATGCTTTATCCTTTGCCCATGATAGCACACTTATTAGATAATTGCATTTTGGATGCATCCAACAAGAAACTCTCTCATTTGTGTATTTGAACTTAGTTGTGAAAGCTATTGACAAGCAAACATAAAAAGCAAAGCTGATTCTTCTGTATACATGCACACCTCATTTTCCTGGGGGTTATTTTAGCTTCAAAAGCACAGGTCCATTTGATACTTCAAGAAATGTTGCTGTAAATAAATTGAGCCACTAAACTCAGGAAAAAAACAGAGCATATGAAAGTATTTAAATATGCAGAGAGGACGTAACACACAGCCTGTATACCCTACCTTGAGTTGTAGCTGTACTACTTGACTGCTGCTATAGAAAATTTTGCTTAGCAAAGGTCGACCCGTTCTTCTGTCAATGACTAAATTATATTTAAAGTAGTCATGAGATTTTGTTTATGCCCATTTTCTTTATGGAAATAAACATACTTGAGTAAGTACTTCCAGCTTGTCTAACAGCTACTGCCAAGAAGATAAAACATTAATAACTTTTGTCTGTAGAGTAGCTAAGTGCATTAAATGCTTCTAAGTAAATCATCACTAGCCAAATCATCTTCTATCCAGGCAATTCTATTAGTCCTAGAATTTTTGAGAAGGAAAAACTCAGGTTGGAAATAATGTGAATGGGACTACAGAATTGTTTAAGAATTTTCTGTAGGGCCAAAGAGCCACAATGAAGATAGAAGAAAATTTTGGCTGAAAGACCATCTGAAATTTAAAGGAAAAAAGGTGTTTTAGAAGAAGTAGACTAAATTATTTTTGTTAATCTCTTTTGGATGTGGTATCTTTTAAACTATGTAATTCAATATTTTTTTCACAAAGTAGCATGATGCAGACTAACTGAATCAACATTTTAAGCCATAATTTATTTTCATATTCAATTAAGATTATGTAAGATTGTGAACTGATATATTTCATGATAATTTTCTGGGATTTGTTGAGTCCCATGAACAATGCAAAACTGAGAAACACATGCAGATATTTGCAGCTGTTTGTGGGAAAGTATATCTGTTGCTAACTAGTGTTATAAAGTCATGACTACATTTGTAAAAATAACAAATGTGATCTTATTAATTGAAAGTGGCATAAGAGTAGAAAACTAATAAATTTGCATAGTTAAGGTGTACTACTGCAGTCTTCCAAAACATACTGCAAAACTGGCAGTGTAATTGCAAGTAGGTTTTTAGTTAATAATCTAGCGCTTTCCAGTGGTTTCCACATTTTTATCTGCATTATTTTCCTCACATGCTTACATCTCTGTGCAATTCTATTTTCTCACCCAGTGAAGGGAGAATCTGGCATTTCTTCGTCCAGTCTTGCATATGCATATCTGGGTTAAACAAGAAACCTTAATTTCATTTCACCTTATAGCAGATACTTGACTGAAGCATGTAAATGAAGGAGGCACATCACCTTTGTAGTCAGTGGAGACGAAAAGGCACTTCCAGAGGTCGGTTCAAATGTTGGAGCCAGTCTCTGGCAGTGTTTGCCTGTCTTCCTCATTTGCATATAACATTTACCCTTTTGTGTGCTGGTGGAGTCTTTTAGCCACAATTTTAGCTCAAACACTATCAGTGTGATAAGCTACTAAAACAATAATTGTTGGTTTCTGCCTTTTGTAATCAAATAGAATCACAGAACCATAGTGGTTGGAAAAGACCTTTAAGATCACCAAGTTCAACCATAAACCCAACACTACCAATTCCACCTCTAAACCATGTCCCGAAGCACCTCGTCTACCCGACTTTTAAAAACCACCAAGGAAGGTGATTCCACCATGTCCCTGGGCAGCCTGTTCCAATGCTTGAAACAATTGAACACCACAAAGATAACCTCCCTACTAAAACCAACAGTATTCAAAAAAAGATTGTATTCTGTTTCTCTTTCCTGTTTCTTTTTCTAGCTTCCATTGTCCTACAGAAGTGGTGGTGTCATATGAACCCCTGTTTGGATGGAGAGGACTGTAAAGTACTACCAGACTATTCAGGTTGGTCTTGCAGCAGTGGAAATAAAGTCAAAACTACAAAGGCAAGTACAAAGATCACCTATATTTACAGGTGGCAATCTGCTGATAGTATTGCTTGTTGCATTGCACCTGTGGGTGTGGGCACCAGTACTGAACTCCTCAATGTTTTGGAGAGTGGTGATTAACACAATTGTTCTCAGAGAGGGAGATGTTGGGCCAGAACTGTCACTTCACTGCTGTCCTAGTTAAGTTATTGGGTGCTGGAGTCAAAATGAAGAAGGCCCTGCTTCAGTCTTTAATGAGGAAAGAAACTATTCCTTTGTGACCAATGCTAGAGGGATAATCATGTTCCAGGATCGATTCTTCAATTTGTAGACTGAGTACATGGATCCAGGGTCTTTATCAGTGTCACCTAAAGTTAGATTCCAGTCCTACTGGAAAGCTCTTTTAGCTTTTGAAAGTAGCAGCCTGTCTTAGGACTTGTTGAGAATCTACACTGATGTCAGTGGGAACTGTGGGACACTGAGCACCACTGGAAATCAGACTGGTTCAGGTAATTTCTAATTACAAGCCATCCTGTAGATGGTCTGCTTTGCTATGCCATCCTGTTTCCCTATTTCTATTTCTTAATCAGTGGCCAGCAGAGAGAAAATATGTCCCCTGTCTGCTTAACAATGTAAAATGAGTTCAGTGCACTGAAGTTCAATAAGTCATATCAAACTGCATATCTAAATATATCATAAAACAGGAATCTTTAGCAGGCAATAGCAAGGAAAGACATACGCTTAGCTTTTCCCTTTACAGCCTCTTCTATTTGGGAATGAATGTTGTTGATTAAGTTACAGTCTGAGTTAATAAGCAAATACTAGCACCAAATGTTGTTTAATAATGGCTGTTCTAAGGAGAGAAAGCTATACTAATTGCTGGATGAAAGAGAGAAAATGAGATGGTTTGGGCAGCTGTGGTGGGATATTGGTGGTCTAAAGCCCAGCTACAGACGTTGCATGGTGGCAAACTCACTGGAAAAATCTGACCAAACCAACCAGTCTGAAAAGCACTATTCCTGTTTTTAAGATAGGAAGAATTCTTGCTAATCAATGCTATTTATCAAATAGTCAGAGATGTAGTCTATAGTGTGCCTAGGTCCTGCTGTTCTCCTGTGATGAATACTACACCCAAAAGTTGACTTGCACAATCTAGAATCAGTGTGAATAACTGGCAGTTAATTATTGCAATGTACAGGTTACTCTCAGCCTTTAAATTTTTTCACAGACACTGACTTTTAACGCCTTGTATATGGATAAGGGGTAAGTGTTGTAGCATCACACTGAAGGCTGAGACTGGCAAAGTAGGAATTTTAGAAAATGACTAAGACAACTTCATCTCTGGACATACCAGGAGACAGCTGGCAATTTATACCCAAAGGACCTTGTTGGAAAACAGTAAGCCAGGGTTAAATATCCTTGGTGCCTTCAATAGATACTAGAGGGATGAAAGGCAGAAGAAAGAACTTTATGTTGGCATTGATGACTGAAAGCCTGAGGCATCAAGCCCTCATTCATGCAGCTGTCCCTTCCTATGAACAGTTGTCTTTTAGTTCATTGAGGTCAACCGACCACACGAGTCAGATAGTCTGTGTTCATGACTTGCTCTTAAACAGTGAAAAGAGGCAGCCTGAGTCAGTGGGAGTTTACCAATAGAAGGGCAAATTTGTCATGGATCACTTATTTTATTATTCATGACAAATTTTGCAAGCAGCAAACTACAGAATATGGTAATGCATTCTGATGAGTTTAGGAATGTCTTTATAAAGCTGGAGTGGGAGAAATCTTCCTGCCTACTATTAGACCTGTATAAATTAATCAATTCCAGTGTGTGGGTCTAGCAGAAGGCAGAGTGTAGCAATATGAGTGCAAATGTTTCATTAAACTCTTCCTCTACTTTCCTGGGGTGTGGAGTAATGTATTTTGCATTGATTTTTATCACCGTAGGAGATTTCTTTGAGGGACATTTAATTGAAAGGATAAGCAAACAACTGGTACTTGTGCTTAGATGTGAATCATTCTGCTGTATTATTGACATGAGGACTGTTAATTTTCCTTGCATGCTGCTGTTTTCCTTTCACTGCCCTGTGTTGTTTTAGATTTGAGCATCTTAGAGTAGGACTGTATTCTCTTGTGCATGTGGTTAGCAACAGCACAAGGGAGATCCTGATTCTGACTGGGCTCTTGGAGTACTGCAACAACATAAATGTAGATATGAATAACAAAGTTAGTGGTTCAACTTACATTGAAATGACACACGAGAGTCTGAAACTTTAAATAGTGATTGGCCATGCTAGAGAAGGGCACAGGCAGACTTCCTTAATGGGTAGTTCCCTTAAAAAGGTGTCTCAGTCCCTCCTTTTTTAATTACTAATTGCTAGAGATTATTCCATTGGTTGCTGTATGTGTTTCATGTGTGGATATTTCAGGGAAATAATTACTTTAATGCTTTTAAATACTTTGGGTTTGACCCATAAAAGCTTTTTCCATGCATTTACCTGTGCTGTTCATAAGTGAACCCTGAAGGATTACTTTTGAAGGCTGAGATTTAACATAACTATATCCTCAGCAGCAGTGACATTTACAAAAGCCAAAGACTTGTCATACTATCATCAAGTTGTTGTACTCCTGTAGTTAGTTTTTAGTATTGTACCTTTTGAGAATCGGTGTGAAATAATGACGTTTATCTTCTTTATTAGTCCAAGTAAGAAAGGACATGATTTGTCCAAGGTTTTGTGGGTGGGATTCATTGTGCCCAGCTGCAGGCATGTTTCCATCCAAGCTGAGTTGTTAGGGTTCTTCAAGTCACGTGGGGAGAAATGAGTGATCTCACAGCACAAGAGTGTTCTCACAGGTACTTCTTTCTTTCTCCTGTACATTAAAAAAGCCCTGGATGACAAGTTTACATGTAGATAGATGTCTGCTTGCTAGACAGCAAAAGCTGTGCTATAGAATCTGACATGGCATCCATGTTGCTTCTGTAGGTATTTCAGCTGTCTTGTGGGTGGTTTTCTCTGTCTACCAAGATAACAGTTGTTGCACAAATATAATGAGCAATGGTACAGATTCTGAGCAGAAGCTTGTGGCACAGGCGATATTGAACTGGAAGGAAAATAGAATGGAAAGAATATTTCCCTTGTT